GTCAGAAAACATGTTTACTTAGTTGGCCATCAGAGCTCTCAGGACAAGTCCTTCATGAAAGAGACTAGCTGCCTTGGCCCCATACTTTCCCCTAAAAAGAAGCAATACTGAACAATGTCCAACCCAAACCCAGTAACATTGTTGTGGTGCTCAATAAAGGAGTAAGATGTCAGTTCTGTTAAAGGTGAGGGGGAAGGACAACACGGGGAGGGTCTTGTGTATGATGCACTTACTCAGAACCTGTTCTTTAAACACCATGGCCACCTGGCACATCACACTGGCAGCAGAGAGGAAACTCAAACTCTTGTTCCAAGAGCAACCCCTCCCTCAAAAGACATACACCACAAAAAAAAAAAAAAGAGGCCACCAGGAAGGCCGTGCAAAACAGCACCATTCCACTTCGACTTCCGTTTTGATAAAACAGTGTTTCATTTCAAGTTCATTTCATTTTGAAAGCGCTGTTCCATTTTGTTTCGTTGAAACTGTTTCAACGTTTTGCCCATTGGCTATAACGAGGGAGCACAAAGCTGCCTATAACTGTCATTTTTGCCTGATTCATCTGAAACTTGCAGGGATGGTAGCCCCTTCTGAGGGCATGAAACCTGCTAAGTTTCAAGGAGATAGATATAGAGGTTTCTGGGAAACTGCACCTCAAGATGTTGACAAGCAAAAATGTCACTTGCTGGCAGCGGCAGCCTCCTGTCATCCAGCAGGCAGATCTGGGAGCCTGCACCTGCAGGAGGGCTGCGGGGCTGCACTGGACTCCTCCTGGGGGCGCAGGCCCCCAATCTGCCTGCTGGATCACAGGAGGCTGCTCCTGCCACCTGAGGCCAGCACCAGTCTTCCCAGCACTGGCTGCGGGCTATGCCCAGTGCCAGTCCCAGGCGGCAGGAGCAGCCTCCTGTGATCCGGCAGGCAGATTGAGGGCCTGCACCCCTGGGGAGGAGTCTGGCAGAGCCCCTGCAGCCCACACGCAACGCCAGAAAGATTGGTGCTGCCGCTGGCCTCAGGCAGCAGGAGCAGCCTCCTGGGCTGGGGGATGTGCCAGAATGCTCCTGGGGGGTACAGCCCCTGGATCTGCACTGGATGACAGGAGGTTGCTGCTGCCAGCTGGGACCAGCGCTGAAGCCAAGTAAGCCTGGCTTTGAAACTCGAAACGTTTCAAAACTTTCGAAATGTTTCAAGTGCCCTTGTTTCATTTTGAAGCTGACATTTGTTTTGTTTCAATTCCGCTGTTTCGAGCTTGAAACACATCAAAACAGCTTTGAAACAGAACACCTGGCGAAATTTTGCACAGCCCTAGCTGCCAGTGTTTATGGTGCCTCTCTGTGGTAAGGTTTGGTAAGACTGACTCTTCTATATCATTTATGACAGGGTGCTGGGAGTTCCTTTAAAGTTTGCCTAGCTGGGCTGCACAATATTAACTGTTATGTGTACAAACACTACCTACACATGACACACAAGATAAACCTGGAGATTTTACATAGGAATCCATAGCATCAAAAACCCATATCCTGACCTTTTGTGGTCTCTGAAGAAGCGCTATTTTTTCCATAGTCAAAACTAAGTGAAACCTAGGGGCTGGCTTTTCCTGAGGGGGCATCTTTGGTCTAAAAGGTTGAGAACCACTGATTTAGGGGTTCAACACTTTTAAGGTAACAGAAACTTCTGACTCCTTGCCCCTACCTCAGAAGTCCAAATTGGTCCTCTTCACAGCCTGGGCTCACAAGTCTTTCATCACTTTCTCATGGTTATCTTTCCCTTTCTGAAGGGAAAGTTGGAAAACTGAGGCTGATACTTCTTCTCTAGGTTTCAGGCCAAGGTGCCTGTGTTAAACAGCAAATGATTGGTCTTTTCCTTTCTCACTGCTTCCTACTTTTCTTCTCATGATCTACTAGGGCTCCTCTTAGAAGCTTCTCCACCTTCTGCCTGAGCTGTGTAGTCTTTTACAGCAGCTGTCTTTACCTGGCTGCTAGGTTGCAGCTTGAGGAGGTAATTAGGATCTTCATTAGCAGTTTCCAGGCCACTGTCGTATTGGCTATTTATCATGAGGATCCTTGTGAGTAAACTCTTTGGGGAAAACCACAGCATGTAGGCAAGGAGCTAAGGGACATCTCTGGAGGAGGCTGGATGCAGCAACAGCAAGTTGAGAAATGGGAGTGTATACTCTACCTAGAAACAGTCACAAGAAAAAGATGCAAGGTAAGATGTGCAATAAATCTTTCCACCCAGATGGATGCTCTGTGAGGCCTGGTAAGGCAGGCCACCTTTGCTCTGAGAGCCTGGACCAAGTGGGGAAGGGTCTCAGATTTTACAATTTAAGAAGATTAAGGTCAACTTGGGAGATTCTGCTGTGATTTTAAGAGTGAATTGTTCACACTGCTAGGGGAGGCATCTTACCTGTACTGAAACAAAACCACCACTATAACTAAAGTATGGGCAAAAATCTGTTCAACTGAAACCCTTGTTATTTCTGATTTCAACATACAAAACTAAATAATTAAGAATTCTACATTTTAAGAGATGCATTTAAATTTATTGGGTGCAATTCTCCCCCCACTTCATTTTTATATCACTGTAACTCTACTGGAGTTACTCCAGTCCTGCTTTTGATTGTCCCTAAAGCTGCTTGTGCTTAAGTTCAGCATATTTCCTGGCTGCACTCAGCTGCTAGCTGGAACATCCTAACATGGAGATATAAGTAGACTGATGTTTTGGCTGTATACAAGTTTCACGAGGATCAAGACTTTCAGAAGTCTCATACAAGAGTCCCCTTTCCCTAGTGAATACAACTTGCTCTTACAGCATTAGAAGATCAGATATTTTCCCCTCTATCACAAAACTGTCAAGCAATCCTTGCCTTTCAGAGATTAGGATGAATTAATATTGCATGTAGAGCCATCCCTAGGGGTGTGCAGGGCCCAGGGCATATCAGCCTGTGCGGAGCCGGGGGGGCGTGAGTGGAGCACGGAGCTGGCAGCCACAGTGGGACCTGTACAATACTGTTCACAGGGCCCCGCAAAGCACGGGGCCTGGGGTGGTCGCCCTGATTCGTGCCCCGCTAAGGATGGCCCTGGTTGCATGCGCTTACTTAACCCTCTCTCCACTTCCTTTCAGGTGACAAACAGATAGAATAGTGTGTGCAGAAGACATATTTAGCTTATGTCATCGTGTTCCAGCTTCTCAGACCAAACACAGACTGCTCAAACAAATATAATCTTGTTACTAACCATTTTACAATATAATCCTCAAGTCTCTTCTCATTCTTGGGTATGTACATCCTAGCATTTACATCCAAAATGTGTCAACAAGATGCAGGGGAAAAAAAACTATAAACTATACAAAATAGTATTTAACAATTAACTCCTTTTCACATGGAAAAATGTATAGGCATTTTAAAGTCAACATACACCTTGACCACTTCATCTGGAACACATTATATATTCAGCAGTTTTCAAAATTTTTCTCCATGTAAATCATACCTAAATAGTGGTTGGTAGGTATCCACAAATGAACACTCTGACCCCCTGCAACAATTGCATGGATCAGCTTCCATCCCATGAGCAATCACTTTCTATTTATGGCTACTGCAGTCATTGCTTTTATGCAGAACATTAAGAAACTATTAATTATAAATTAGCTGTTAGAAACAAAGAGTGTGTGTAACTAGTCAACTTTAGGAAGTAGTGAACCAGTTTGAGAGTTGCTGGGCTAGTGCAGTGGGTCTTATAGTAACAATGGTAAGGGACAGGAAGGTAGACTGACACTGCGTTGTCCTTGGCTTGCAACAATGTGAACTTGAGCCTGTCCCCAGTAAAAACTGCTAACACTGTATTTCGTAACTATCACAAGAAGTAGTGAGGTGCACTGCAAAAAATGTCCGGGTGTGTATATCTATCTTTGTGAACTGTACAGCCCAGTCCAATACCAGAAGCATTAAAGTTAACCTATTATATGTAAATACCAACTGCATTTTATTTCTACTGGTTAGCTCGCTTCACTGGTAGACCTACTGTGCAAAGCAAAAAGCCTCCTTTTTCAAAGATGCCATGTGGCAGCAAAGCAAATACAGACCCAGCGACTGACATTGCTGAGGTCATAAGCTTTCCTGGTTAAACCTACTAGTAAATAGCAGTGTGAACCATCACAAGTGAGCTCTTTAATTATACATCTATGCGTATACATGTCATACACCCCCCCCACACATATATACGTATCATATATACATGCACATCGCACACAAACACCGTCATTACATGCACACATTTCATATAGATAGATATCTATATATATGATACGTGTGTGTGGTACCCAGGTGTTTGTGTGTATGTCTATATGACACATGTATGTGTATGGTATGTATAGTGTGTATGGATATATATGGTACGTGTGTGCTACATGGGGGGGGTGTGTATACACACACACACACACACGGGTATGTGTTGTTTGTATACATATATACACCCATACACACCCACCCACACCATACACATATATATGTATCAGAGATATATATACATACACAGGTGCGTAGAAGTATCTCACACATCAGCCCCGGCTCCGCCCCATACTGGTAGCTGCGCGGAGCTAACGCAGGGCCGCCGCCGCCCCCCACACGCGGGCGCGGGGGCACGTTCGGAGCCGGGCACGTGACACCCCCTCGCAGTCTAAGCCTCAGAACACGGGCGCGTTAGCGGAGAGGGTGGGGCAGAAACACGTCACAGCTGCTCCCGCCACAACGTCCCTGGACTCGGCACGAGTCTGTCCGCAAAGCCGACTCCCGGCTTCACGTAGCACGGGAGGGTGAGGAGACACGCTCCGGTCTCAGTGAGGGAACAGCAAGCCCATCCCCTCCCCTCCCCCACCAACCGCAGCCTGCGCGAGGAGGCTACGGAAGCCGCAGCCAGAGCGCGCGACGCCTCTGACAGCAGGACGCGGCCCTGTCCCACTTCCGGCCCCGGAGGCTGGAGTGGGAGGGCAGTCCTTCCTCTGCAGGGGATCGTCCCAGGAAGTGACGCAGCAGCGTCTGCGGCAGGAGCCTGCCGGAAGGGGAAGGTGTTGTCTGCTAGCGCCGCCCCTCTGCCTTCCTCGCCACCACGCAGTCAGTCCGAGGCCCGGCGGCGGCGGCGCGGGGATGGCGCTGAGCCTCACGGTGAACGTGGGGAACCCTCCCCTTGGTGAGTCCCCCTTTATATCCCCCCTGACGCCCGAGGGCTGCGAGGGAGGGCGCCTCGGCCGGCCCCTGGCTCGCCGCAGGGCTTCGCGGGCGCTTCGCAGCTTCAGGTGGCCTCGGGCCAGGGCTGCATGGATTCGCCGGGCGACCCCGTCTTGCCGGGTGCCCGACCCTGTCCTGGGAAACGTAGTTCATGTAACAAGTAATATATATATAACGTCTATCTAAGTATAGAAATAGATGTATATCTAGACATAGATTACTTTAATTACTGTATTACATTATGATATCTCTGTATAGGTATAGATAGGTGAGTTATAAATATGTATTTCTTTATATATATGTACTACATTATGATCTGTATCTTTGGAACGTAATGTAGATCTGTAATTTAATAACTATAACATAATAGGCCTTATTGGTGTACTGCAGGGCAGGGATTCTGGCCCAGAGGTGGCAGTGCATGGCGGGGCCTTGAGAAGCTTTTGAGGAGGCGGCAGGGCCACGCAGTGTTAGCACCCTTAGTTGGGAAAACAGGATTGACTGGATATACTCAGAGATTTCAGGCAGGACTCCCTACTGCCAAATGCATTCTGACCTGTTGTTGGCCAAGGTTTTTCTCAACAGATTTGCTGTATTATTTCTTTCTGTAGTAATAAAATAAAAAAAAAAGAGTGCCAACTAAGTTGGCATTTTCCAAGGGGTGCCTTGAGCCTCTCAAGGGATGCCTCAAGTATAAAAAGGCTGAACCACTGGTCCAGTGGCAATCCATTCGTTTCTGGCTCTAGTTCAGAATTGCGCTTTGGGGTGTGCCTGCCTGCTCCATTTTCTGCTCCTGTTCCTCATCTAGCCCAAGGCTTTCACAACACCACCTTACTGCTAAAGGTGCGAGAACCTTCTTCCCAGCAACTCCTGGCATGTGGAAGCAGCCCTTCACCTGTCTGCCATGCTGACTCCCCATCGGATTTCACATTGATGCTGAAAATGCGCTTTGTTTCTGTGCCTCTGTGTTGTCTTTTTGCTCTATGATGTTCTGTGTTTTTTTCTTTCTTGTATTTTTCAACTCTGAAAAGCACTCTGTGATGCAGTTTGAATAACATGATTTTTTTAGAAGTATATTAGTATGTAAGTACAGCACTGCCTTATTTTAGCAAGCATGTACTTTTAACAAACTCTACTTCCAGAACCATTTTTTTTTATTACTATGATGCAGTAAATTGACTAACTCTTTTATATTCAATGAACTTCTCTGGCCCCATGGAGGTCCATCGTAATGAGGCTTTACGGCACGTGAAAAATCCTGCAAAAAAAAAAAAAAAAAAAATTAATTTTGAAAGACTCCTCAAAAATCCTTATTGAAATGAATGGCTTGTAGGTATGAAATTATGTAAGAAACACCCTCTGATTAGTTTCATTTACTTTATCTCTTACTACATTTTACTTCCTTAGCCTGAGTATGTGCTTGAGTAGAGGGTTCTTCCAATTCACAGAAGCCCTTGGATGACCGTAAATATTACATGCATAACACTTTTTAAATGCAGAAGTGTTTTCTTTAGAAAAATCAGGCACTTGAGTTGCATTTGATGCCTAGCTCATATTAATAATGGTTGTTATGAGCTTTGAAAATTGTACCGGCAGTTGCTGTAATTTATGGTAATGATGTTTTGTAGGATGTAGCACTCTTCATCTTTGAAGCATTGTGAAAACATTAGTTACATGCTTATCTTCTCACAAAGGTATTGCAGGGAATCTTCCCATTTTGACACAGACTGAAGTGAGGGAAGACCATTAAGGGTACATCTACATGGCACAGCGCAGTGCCTGAGCTAGCCTTGGATGAGCTAATTTGGGTATGGAAACAAGATGGCCACTTTAGCAGGGCACTCCTCCTGGGCTAATTGGCCCTGCTGTGCCAGCTCAGCTATACTGCCTCTGGTAACTGAGCTGTCTGCTCGCGCTCGCTCTGCCTCGCGCTCGCTCTGCCATTGTTCTGTGGTGCCACTAACTGACTAGCCTAATTCCACAAAACGTATGTGCGTGTGTTTTACGGAATTGGGATCTGGGCATGGGAATTTCTTGTTCCTAGTTGGCTTAGGTCAATTTACTAATACTGCTCTTTGTACTTTAATGTACAGACTACAATTAGATTTTTTTTTTTTACCTTTTTTTATCAAGAATAAGATTTTTTGTGCTGCTATGAAAATGAGCTGCTGGACCTTTAAGGCCCAGATCTCTCAGTTTGATCCAGGCAAACAACACTATGTGTTTGTGCAGACGTTTGTTGCCTTTAGGCAATGGCATCTTAGGAGAGTGTCAAGGGCAAACCATCCTGTATAGAGGTGGTCCATCATGGATAGAGCTGAGTCACATTTACAGTATTGTAGAAGCTTTGTTCCATGGATGGAAAGAGAGGATTTTAGTCTGTAGGATGGTTAATCCTTTCACGAGCATTGAATCCACTTAAAAAATTGACCTTGCCCTTCTGGTCTCTCTTTTGCTCGCACCCCCGCCCCCCCCCCCCCCCCCCCCCCCCAC